ATAAAGGTCTAAAAAAAATAAATAAAAAAAAAGTGCATCAGCACTGTGCCAGAACGCACAACAGCTGCTGTGCAATGTAGCGCAGAGGCTGGTGTGGCTGAATCCAGCTGGTGTGGCAGTATCCAGTAGACACCTAATGATGACCAGCCGTTGTCTGCTGCATTATGTAGTAACTATTAGGCAGCCCTTTTGTCTGGATCAGTCAAAATAATATGGCTTTCAAAAGTCATCCAATTCATAAGGGAAAAATAACACATGGTGGGATTTCATGGACATGTTAGATTGATATTCAATAGATACAATAAATAGACAGAACAATCAGGTGCTCAGCAAGGCGAGCCAAACAGGTCTTTAGAAAGAAAACCCCACATCTTCCTATATCTGTTGTTAAATTCCTTTTATCTCTTCATATAAAAACTCATATGACACAATCATTTGGATCAGACTTAACTCTTTTAGTTCTCCCTTTTCATAATACATTTTATTTCTAGATTATTGTCAGAAGAAACTTTCCATGGATTTAAAGGTGAATTTTCTAAACGTTGCAGTGACAAAAATTTGCAAAGTCAAAGACCCTACAAACACCTAACATTTATCCAACAGTCCAGTATGCATGCAGATGAGGATGGTAAGCCTTGACTAATTATTTTCTGTAATATTGATATCAATTATGTAATCTACATGATAAATAAATGATACTGAGCAGATTTATTTTTCCGCTTCATAAAGGCCCCATTCAAACCAGGGGTTTAGCACGGTTTCCGTGCAATTTTTGAAAGGGCGTTTTTAATCATGTTTCAGCACTGAAACGCAGTGAAAAACACGCTAATCAGCGCATTTCCATTTAAATCTCTATGGAAAACAAGCTGATCAATGCGACAAAAGTAGCGCAGGGAGCATTTTGGGCGGCAGGCATTTCGGATCGCGCAGATTCACGTGCTTGCATGAACCGTCCCCATAGGAATGTATAGGATTGTTCATGTAGGGTGGTTCAGTGCGGAAAAATCAGTGCGACTGAAAACACCCTGGTGTGAACGGGGCCTAATATAGTACTGGCATATTCCACACCTCTTTACTGTACATTTTCATGCCATTACTTTGATGGCATTGTAAGGTCCTCACAATAGTCACAGATGGTCAAACTCTTAAATCATATTAGGCAGAAGCCATTTAACACAGCTGGAAACATTAATCCAATCCTGAGAATCTGTGCAGTATAGTCAATGGAAATATAGGTAAGGGGATAATTGTAGTGCTCCTCCTATAGGAATAACTGTCCTACAGGCGTGGCAGTTAGAAGGCATTTTATCTGTTTACAATATATGCTTACTGGCTTCAGGGACTTGAATTGCTAAAGCGCCGACTTCTGTGCTACATAAATATATTTAGGTTATGGGATCTGCAGTGGGTATAGATGCCATGTTTTGGAAACATGCACTTGACTAACAGAGGAGCCTACTCATCAAAAGGTCAGATTTTGACCCAAGTGGGCATAACCAGCTTTTGCAGACAAATATACAAGGCAATAACTTTATTAACTGCAGAATAAAGTTTCCAACATCATGTAGCGGCTGGCACAGGTTACACAAGCGACATCACCTGTATTGCCAAACACAGGCTTTAATTCATGAACTATTCTGGCCTCCAGATCAGATTTATGCCTTATAGACAGGGTTGAAGTACTAATCTTTCCCTACTCCAAGAGTAATGGTCCTCTTTGTAAAAGGCCACTATGAACAATGCAGAAGGTACATGTGGGAATAACTAATAATAACTAACTATAACTAACCTTCTACAGGGTGCCTTTGGTGTAATCTTTTACCTGAAGGGAAATTGTAAAGGAAATCTGTATTGACATAAATGCAGGTTGTTCTTACCTCTACTAAAGTTGAATGCCAATCCCCTCGAAAAATGTAATGCGGATCCAATGGTTTTAATATTTTTTCCAATTCAGCTAAAAAGGCCACTGCCTTACCGGCTATAGAAAGGGAATCTAAAAATCTGCTCAGCAAAAGCCCCCTGGAATGTATGCCGAAATTGGGTGGGGGGGCTATGAGGTTTTTCACGACTCATGACGGGATAAGCCCGTCATGAATCCTCAAGGGGTTTACCGCTGGGACTCTGTTCATACTTGTAGAACCGGCGGCCAGCTTTACAGTAGAAGTGATTCAGCTGTCGCCAGATCGCTTCTACGATCCAGTGACGTGACTGCCTCCGCCGTGTTCCTGAGTTTCGCTTCCCTCCTACAGGCCCGGGACCAGCATCTCAGGTGTCCATTTACCGATCTGCTCCCCATTCTATGGGACCAGGAGCGACGCGCATTGCATCACTTCCGGTCACTGAGCAGCCATTGCTGGGCTCCTGAAGCCCAGCAATAAGCTATTGAAGTGCGATCTGCACTGTCAAAGGTGATACCAGGGGTCTTTTGGACCCCCAGTATCACCTTAAAGAGTAACAAATCTCCACTAATATACTATCACATGGGGGGGCTTGTAAAACAAAAAAGAAACATTTTTACATTTAAAGTCCCCCATGAGCATGTGCATCGTCACGTAAACATGCATCGGGTGCGCCTACGTACAAAAATGACGATTGTGCTACACATGTTGGGTATCGCTGCACACGCCAGAGTGAGAGCATTAATTCCAGAGCTAATACTTACACGCATCTCTAAACTGACAACCTGTAGGGGCTTTTAAATCGTCGTGTATGGACTTTTTGGGGTACTGTATTCGTTCAGTTTCATGGACGCACATAATATTTAACCTGGGCATGTTGGGTATGCATTTACACACCAAAAAAAAAAAAGTTAAAACTGTTACTGTAGAAGAAGGAAACAATCATCTCTCAGGTTGCTGTCCTGAAATATATAGTTGTTCAATTTAGTTTGTGCTATAGGGTGCAAATCCTAGCCATGGGAGCACCCATAAAAGTAATGGGTTTCTGAGACCAAGCAGGTGGTTAGTACATGTACTGTTTTGGCTATAGATGAAGCCTGGGTTAACCCATAGTTTCCATGTACCCCACCATATTATAGAAAAAAATAAATATAATATTCCACCAAAAATAAGCTTTGGTGTGGTGAAATAGGGCACGAGATGAGATTCACCAAAGGGGCCATCGCAGCCATGATCATATTTGAAGTAACTCTGTTGAGCCATAAGCAGAGGTGACAAAACTGCTTCTCAGTACCAGTCTCCATTATACTCTGGCCAGATTATTATGACCACCCCATCAGTACTTCGTTGGGCCACGAGATGATTTTTGGGCCGCCTTGTGACTCCACGAGATGTTGAAAGGTGATGCAAGGAATCTGACACTGCACTGTTGCCCTTCTGTTGTCTTGTACTAGTCTTGCCACTCTCCGTTCTGCCCTAACATTGACTAGTCGCTGACTGCCACAATTCGCACGTTCAGACCCAGATTTTCGGCTGACAGTCAAGTCTAATACTTTTAACAGCAGCTGCTCTTCAACATTCTGCTGATACTCGCTCCGAGCGCCAACAACCATCCCACGTTCAAAGGCTGTTAAATCGCATTGTTTACCCATATCTTCTGTCGTGGTAAACAACCTGCTTCCCTATTTATAATGGTCTGGCCCTCTAGCAACTTCAGTGCAAAATTATAGCTAATTTGCCTACAAACATGAGGTGGTCATAATAATCTGGCCACTCAGTGTATATTCTTAGCTAAAGGCCAAGTTGACCTTTTTGAGTGAAAATAGACTATGCAAGGTTAAAGTAGATTAAAAACACTATGCAGGTTGTAGAAATGCTGCTTAATGTAGCCGGCTTGCCAAGTCCCCTCCCTCCCCCAAAGCCTAACTAAAAAGAAATCCCACATTCTGTCTTGTATGATTGGCAAAACATATCCACACCAAGCGCTTGCCCCCTTCTGTAGCAGCAGCTGATGAGCTCAACGTGCTAGGGGGAAAAATAAAATAAAAAAGTTTTGGAAACTTCTACGCTTCACAAAATGACAGGCATGTACCAATTTTGTTTTCCAGAATCATCTTGTAGTGCCACAAATGGCAATAGGGGAGGAAGGCCTGCATGGGAACCTCTAACATACACAGCACTGATCGACTTCAAGCCTTCTGTAACTGTGCCAGGAAGAGGACATTTCAGACATGGCCAGGCACGCCTGTGGCTTGTAAACAGTTCAGCTACAAACTCTGCTAAACAAATTAAATTATAATGGAAATGAATCAGTAAAAATATGTTTCAATAAAAACAAGCGTTAAAAAAAAAAATCTAACTATACGAGTGGTCACTGGGTCAGTGGGAGGGGAAAAAAGCCTCCAATGGCTACTGCGAAAACTGTTAGAGGGCCTAAAAAAAAAAAAAAAAGTATAATGAAAACCATATGTTTACCAGCATTCAGGTACATCACATGTGCCGCACACAAGGCCCGCCACGCCATCTTATGTGGCCCTCTCACTTCTCCTGCAGCAAACCCCTCATCTCAGCAGTAGGCAGCGGAGGACAGAACACTTTTGATATACTTACTAGGGATAGACAGATACTGGGCATTTTAACAAGTACTTGCACAAATGCCCTGATACTAAGCACAGATACCAGAGCTTTAAAAATGTTAAACAGAAGCAGGTGTTTTAAACAGGAACAGGTACCAGCAGCCTTCCTGTGATTTGCAGCGCCCGTTTACTGCGCTGGCAGCAAATCTCTATCCTGTGGATCTACATCGCCCGCACCGAGACCATACAGCCCTCCCAAGATCCCTCATGGCTAGACGAGAGTCCGCATAGACCCCGCACAGCCACCTGAAAATCCACGCAGCCCAGCATAGACACCCGAGTCAGCACAGCTACCAGAGAGCTCACCACAGACCCTGCATAGCTCCCTAAAGGATGTTTCATTAATTTAAAGTTATATAAAAGTGCAAAATACATTAAATTACAAGTATTGAAGAAATGAATTGTATATTTATTAAGTTAACAGAAGACAAGACAATTATATAGAGAAAAATTGTAAAGTTTACTTTTATTATACACATTGAAACAGGTGTTTTGAAACAGGTGTTTTGAATCAGTTATGGAAAGCATTATGGCCACTAGTCAACTGATCAGTTTCAGTATTCTTCATCTTCTTCCTCATCATCTTTAGCAGAGTCTGTTCCTACCTCTTCATAATCCTTTTCTAGAGCTGCCATATCCTCCCTTGCTTCAGAGAACTCTCCTTCCTCCATGCCCTCTCCCACATACCAATGTACAAATGCTCTCTTAGAATACATGAGATCAAACTTGTGGTCTAGCCTTGCCCAGGCCTCTGCAATGGCTGTAGTGTTACTCAGCATACAGACAGCACGTTGAACTTTGGCCAGGTCACCTCCTGGAACTACAGTAGGGGGCTGGTAGTTTATTCCCACTTTAAATCCAGTAGGACACCAGTCTACAAACTGGATAGACCTCCTGGTTTTAATTGCAGCTATTGCTGCATTGACATCTTTTGGCACCACATCACCTCTATATAACAGACAGCAAGCCATATATTTGCCACGACGAGGATCACATTTCACCATCTGATTTGAATACTCAAAACAAGCATTGGTGATCTCGGGCACTGATATTTGCTCATGGTAAGCCCTCTCTGCTGATATTATGGGTGAATAGGTGACCAGGGGGAAATGGATTCGAGGATACGGCACCAAGTTAGTCTGAAACTCTGTCAAGTCTACGTTAAGTGCCCCATCAAACCTCAAAGAAGCTGTGATGGAAGAAACAATTTGTCCTATCAGTCTATTTAAGTTGGTATAACTGGGTCGTTCAATGTTTAGATTTCGGTTGCAGATATCATAGATGGCTTCATTGTCTACCATAAAGGCACAGTCCGAATGCTCCAGAGTTGTGTGAGTTGTCAGAATAGAATTATATGGTTCTACCACAGCAGTAGAGATTTGTGGAGCAGGATAAATGGAAAACTCCAGCTTGGATTTCTTTCCATAATCAACAGAAAGCCGCTCCATCAAGAGGGAAGAGAAGCCGGAACCTGTGCCACCTCCATAGCTGTGAAAAATTAGAAATCCTTGGAGGCCAGAGCACTGCTCTCCCTGCAAACATAAGAAAATGGATAAAGATGGTCAGGTACCATTGCAACTACTTATGTACTCTGCAGTTTAAACACTACATAGGGTTTGATTGACTCTGCAACTGTCAGATGTGGTCCATACATCCTTAACTAAAAAGTCAAACACAAGCAGACATAGGAGCATGGTAAGATGCCCATATACCATTAGGACAGGGGTAGGCAACCTACAAATCCTATGGCATGCCTGTGGCTGTCAGTCTTGCAATGCTTCATGGGACTTGTAGTTTCATACCAACGGGAGTGGCAAGGTTGCCTACCCCTGCCTTAGATAAAGTTAAAATCTGTACAGGAAACAGGATTTCATAAATACAATTGATGGCAAAGGACAATAGCACCATTTATGTTAAAATTTGTGCAGTTTTCCCTTTTGGAGTACTGGTGTTTCACAATTGACATGTGTTGGTACATCAGAACAAAGGTGAAGCCTTCTGCAGATTTTTCCAAGTTAAGTTTTCACCCACATGGCATGCACGCTGGATGTGCAATTATAATTTGCAATTAGTCATCACCTAACTGCAAGTTATTAGAAAAGTTTTATTGCAGCATTCCCCACCCCCTCTATAGTGCTTCTATAGTCAGTCACTTGATTGTATTGCTCTTGTTAGATTGTATTAAAAATTTACAGTGTAGAGGTGCACCATAACCACAAATCCTTTGCTCAATAAAATCCTCCATGCACCCCATTCACACAGAGGCTATGATTGTGTTCTCCTACAGAGACATGCTGGGAACTGTAGTTTCTTGGATACCCACAGGTTGCCTACACATTGAAGCAGCATTCTTTTAGGAATTTCTGCATAAAAAGCACACAACTTACCATTTTACGCATTTTGTCCATAACATTATCAATCACCTCCTTTCCAACAGTATAGTGACCTCTGGCATAATTATTTGCTGCATCTTCCTTTCCACTAATTAGTTGTTCGGGATGAAAGAGGGTACGATATATTCCAGTTTTTATTTCATCTAAAATATTCAAAAACAAATTTGAGTAAACAAAAAATCCACAATCCCACGACAAACAAAAACTCCTGTTGCTGCAACTCCTTAAGTAGTGTTAGCTGAAGTTGGACAGCTCAAATAGTTAAAGCTACAAATACCGTTCCCACCAAAATTCAGTTCTGGTAGGCTAGAACTGCACAGCTTTTAGAAATCTGCTCTAGGATCATTTACAAATTCTAGAATTGATGCTTTTCAGGCTAGCTTTTACAAGCCAGTAACAATACACCTTTGTAGGAGGACGAAGCTATAGGGAGATATTATGAACGCCATTTAAGGTATGCCTAGTTTCAGGGCCCCTTCCCAAAATCAATATAAGCTTTAAAGTTAAATCTTTTAGGATAAGGGTCAAAATATACTTGTCTTACCCCTTCTGCTGTCCATAGCACCTAGGGAAGAAGCAAGCTTCACAGTGAGAGCACAATAAATGCAGAGTAACCCGAATCTCACAAAAAGACACTCCTGTAATGTTCAACTCAACATTTACAGAGACTCTGCTGGAAGAATAGAGACTTCACCCACGGAAAATGGAAACTGGGGGCAAGTCAAGTATATACCTTTTCTAATGTCTCCCCCCCCTTTAACATCAAAGCTGCTACACAATATAGGGGCATTAAGCAGAACTTTCCTTTTACAGCAAGGTCCACTTTAAAAGTAAAGTTTCATCGATCCAAATGAACTAGTCTTATTTCCATATGACTTCATACACAAGTACATTAACAACTTACCAATAACAGTCTCTTCAAGATCAACAAATACCGCCCGTGGCACATGTTTGCCTGAACCAGTCTCATTGAAGAATGTTCCAAAGGATGAATCTAATGGAGCGGTGTGATCTTTAGAAAGGACCCCGTCCGGCTGGATTCCATGCTCTAGACAGTATAGCTCCCAGCAGGCATTACCCATCTGAACACCGGCTTGGCCAATATGTATAGAGATACACTCCCTCTGAAATGTAAAACGTCAATACATCAGAAACAGCATCAAAGACAAGCTTCTAAATACTGCATGCCAAACTGATCAGAAATGTCTACTTTGAGCCTACTCAAGACCCAGTATAATGAGTTGGTCCCCATGGAACCAAAAAACAGTTATGATTCCATGCTAGATAGCCTTTGGGTTTTTCACTCACATTCAAAACTGGAGCAGACAAAATCTGGAGCAGCTGTGCATGGCAACCAATCAGCTTCTTCAGTTAAGATTTCAAAATTAAAGAGAGGGGCTGACTGGTTGCAATGCACAGCTGCTCTAGATTGTTTTCTGCTCCAGTTTTGATAAATACCCCTTGTGATTTACATGCAGAGGGAGTTGCATAAAAGTAAGCAATACCCCATGCTAAGGAATCTTCCATATGCTATACCAAGCAAGCACCAAAACATACCTAGCAAACTAGTAAAGCCATGTAGGATTATATGGAAGCACTTTCCACTGGACAAAAGTTTAATAGATCACATCAATAAAGACTGAAAATACACATGCTGAACTTAAGAGCAAAAACAGATCACACAAAATGCATTAAATATAAAAAGGAGCAGCCATTGGCCATTAAAGAAGCATGCACAACACTAGAACTATGCAGGCAGGTCATAACTGCCCCATGTAGTCGCATATGGTTTCACAGGATCTATACGGTGCAAACAATTTACAATACAAGGAAGACATTACAGCTACAATACAATTACAGGACATGGGTGAGAGTTAAATTCAGATGGTGCAGGGAAAGTAAAGTCTTTTGCAGCCAGGCCAATGGAAACGAAGATTCGGTGGAAGAAGTTCTAATCTTTGTCTGAAGGACCCAGGAGTTTAGCTCTAGAAGGGTCAACCTCACTCCCCACAAGGGGGAGGGGGGGGGGGGGTTGGATTTATTAGGGGGAAAGTTAGACATTGCAAACATTTTTTTATGGAGGAATGTTTTCTTCATGGTACACGCTCACCATCAATGTTGAGAAGTAAACTGGGCAAATTGGATTGGCTTAGGAGTTTGATACATTTCAGTGAATTTGAGCGATTTCTCAAATTCAATGGGAGTAAAGTTTAAAAAGGCACAATTGTATGATGGCTGATGTAGACCTTGGGATCTCTAGACATTGTTGTACTCGATTTGCTCAGTTGGCTGCCTAATTGCTACATCTTACTGGGTCTTGAGTTGTCAGGGGATATAGGCACATATGGGGAGGCCAGGAACATTTTTCTGTCAGTAAATCTATAATAAAATGGACAATTGTGGTTTGTGATATATCAAGTTACAGAACCCCACCCCAAAAAACAAAACCCACATCTACCATTTGATTAATGAATGGCCAATTTCATCCCATCACATGGAGTGGTAGGAGATAAATACATGCAAACTGGACTCAGAACGCAGGAATACAGTTAACTCAAACAACACCTAGTGTAGCTAACAGATACAGCATTTTTTTTAATTAGTAGATTGTCTTGCCCAAGAGTTCCATATCAAATCCTAAGACTAAAAAGCTACACACAGATAAACCAGGGATTCAAAATAAAATCCTATATTTGAGCAGCTTTTCTTCAATGTTAATGTTCTAATGAACTTCTAAATACAGCTGAAACACAAACCAAAGCAGCTCAAAATCCCCTGAAATTACACAGTTTTCTTTTACATACAAGACACATGAATCTACATACATCTTGAAGCTTATAAACATTTTCCCACAGACTCCCCCAGTTATGCTTAGAGCATTTCTTTCCTGCTCCCTAACACTCACCATTTTCAACTTTGTAACACAAACAGCCAGATGGAAGGAGAGCAAGCATTCCCAGCTATCCAAACCATCAGCATTTAAACCATCCCACCCTTGGGAAGTGGGAGGTCTCAGATAATTAAAGTGGAACTAACCTGAAACTGAGCTACTATTGCCAAATGTTGTACTGTTGTGTTCCAATAATGTGTTTTAAGTGTTGTCACCCCAATGCGACTGCATTGCAGCACACCACAAAGCAACCGTAACAGACTACCATGTGTTTATACTACACAGTTGCTAAAAATAGTGCATGTGTCTGTTTAGATGCAATAGTAACCCATTCAAATGAATAGGCTGCCTTAACGCCTTGCACAAATGTAAATGAACCCTTTGTATGTTTTTTATGTTTAATACATGTGCCATGTGTTAAATCAAAATATGTTTATATAAAAAAAATAGAGCAAAAGTACAGGATCCCAATCATAACCTTTTCATTCCAATCATAATTTTATACATTTTTTTTAGAGAATGAAGGATAAAAAAAAAATTGGTTGCTATGTACAAAAGTTATTCTTCTGCTTCGGCTTTTATGAATTACCCACAGCAAGTAACTGGATAGAAAATTGCCCTGTTGCTATTCATTGGGACTGAAAATTGGAGCAAAGCACAGAAGTTGTCTGCAGCAACCACACAGCTTTAAAAGGAATGAGATAGCAATACAAAGCCATGCCCCAAGTTTCGCTTTTATAGCTCATCATCAGTAGTGTCATTCGCCTTTTATGAATTTCTTTGTTAAAGGCTCGGTCTGCCCAAAACTGACATTACATTATTTTGTTGTATTTCTCAGGGACTCAGGTCTCTGCGAGACACCTGCTATGGCCATTAAAAGGCCCCCTCCCTCCGTTTTTAGATTATCTGCAGATTTTCTATGGTCAGATGGAACAAGTGCAACAGATTTCTCCATCTACGCTAAACTGTGTGGATGGAGGAATCTCCCACTGACCCAAGCTTCAGTATCTTGCTAGTCAGCACCGCTGGCTCTCAAAATACCTGTACAATGCCTGCACCAATCAGATTGTTCAGGTACTTTGACACCACACAGTTTAGCGTAGATGGAGGAATCTGTTGCACTTGTTCCATCTAACAAGGCTCAACCACTAACTAAAATATCACCACTGTCAGAATAGTAGACAAGTAGTTAACAGTCTTGCAGCTGTGGGGTGTTTAATACCTACCATGTGTGCTTTTTGCATGGATTTACTATGTTTCCTTCCACCCAAAATGTTCTCTAGTATGTCAGTACAGTAGGGACATTACACTACGAGCTCCTTTGGGGTCAGGACTGGTGTGGACTGTATACTATATTATTTGATGTAAAAGAATCAGCTATAAGTAAAACTTTAAGTAAAATAAAAATACAAATTTTGGGATAGGGCCCATTCTTTACATTCTGTGAAGCAGATTTATGAAAACTGGAGTATTTAAAAATGTTACCCCCAGCAACAAATCAGATTCCTCATTACCCTGTGAATAAAAGGTAAAAGTGTTTTGGATACTATGAGCACTGGCTCCAATCTTGCAGCAGTTCAATATACACTTATATAAACCCACAATTATATCTTATGATTTGTAGGTATCAGTTTAAACTCCCATATGTATGCCTTTTAGTTTTTCTTATCACCAGCAATAAAGGGGTTAAGGTTTTCTCTCCATTTCCCCTTAATTTTACCTGCAGCTAGACTTCCTCTCAGGTGGCATAGCAAGGCTATTTAATAAATGGTGTAGTGCTGGAAACAATTGGTGTGTGCTCTATTGCTGAAACATTGTGGTCAGTTACCAGAGAGCAATCATGGTAAGAGCTTGGCTTTTTAAGTTGTTCTATGCAGGCTATTAATACTTTGTTGAAGACTTTGTCTATGATTAGAAGCGTTGACTACTACTAATCTAGGTTTGTTTTTTTAATTAGCAGACATGTTGTCCTACATAATTCTGGTACAAGTTGCATGTAGATTCCACAATGAGCTGATTGCTGGCTTGCACCATAACTGCATTGTGAAATTCTCTAATGTTCCACTTTAAATTTATTTTTGACAGGAAATCTTGTTGCCTGGTAGAAATGCAGCTATTGATATTATGAAAAACTTTTATGACCTTTTGGCCCAAGGCAGCTTATAGATATTGGGCTTCATTCACAGCAGAGCATTTTGTAGCTGGAATTCCTAAGCACTACTGCGGTCAATAGGAGGTATGCCATTCTTATTAATGGCCCCAGTTCATGCTGGAGCGTTCTGTCGCTTGTAGCAAAATGTCTGTTGTTTAAAAACCTACATGAGCTTCTTTTGAGGCAGTGTCAAGTATTTGGCCCCAATAAAAAATAATTTTTTAAGCCCAGTAACTAGACTTGTATTGCCTAAAAACAAAACACTCAAACCTGGATCATTTGCTAAAACCACATATAAAACTGTGAGACAATGCCCAACGATGCTCAGCTGAAGTGTGAAAGGGCATCAGGGGTGGCTGGCTGGTGTTCCAAGGTAATCGGAACCTTTTCCTTGACTTTGCTGTATGCTTGTTCTGACTCTGAACCAAAATTACTCAGCAAAGCAGTAAGAAGCACACCGATATTTTATCTGGAGTCTGAAATATCTACTGTTATATCGATCTCTATAATATCTATCTAACTGTTATTCTGAACTTGCCCTCCAAAAAAAATTTGTTTTGGAGTGGAATGTACAATGTAGACATTTAAAGTATTATGTCTCCAACTCCTGGTTTCTTGGCACTTGTCTGGTGCTGAATGGTTCTTTCCATGTGGGTTTTTTGTTTTTCCTCCCCAGTTAACTTTGGTCAAAGGAGCTGGTTGGGAAAATTGTTGGCCAAAACAGTGACTGCAGTACCTGCTTCCTCCTAATTGACCTACCATAGAGCGGCTGTGACATTATGCAGCCTTGGCTCAGATACACAGCATTATGTAATTGCTGTACAGTACAGCAATAAGGACCACTCTCTTCAGGGAAGGTGAGGGTGTTGTTCTTTTTGAGGAAAAAAAAGTCATTATAAACGGAATATCTCATTGAGATCTGGCCATGGCTCAGCTCATTAAAATGCTAGTTCCCTGGCGGTCGTCGTGTGGGGTTTTTTTTCTTTTTTTCTTCAAAGCAGTCACTGACCTGGGACAGCTATAGAGATAAGTAGTGGTGACAACCATTGACCAGTTGTTTTGTTCCAGGTCTGTGACTGAAAAGAACTGATCAGGCATCTAGTGTTGTCAGAGGTTTGCAATGGCAGCCCCATAGTTCTCCCATGATTGTTCAATTTAATTAAACGCTGTACTGAGAAATACAGTTGACCATTGCTGAAGCAAGCCTTTTTGAGCCATTCTTAAAAAAAAAAAAAAAAAAAAAAATTTTTTTCAGCTGCAACTATTTAGTCAAA